TCCCAAGTAACAAGCGACAGGACGAGAGGAAACGGCCTCAAGTTGTGCCAGGGGAGGTTTAGATTGGATATTAGGAAAAATTTCTTCACCAAAAGGGTTGTCAAGCATTGGAACAGGCTGCCCAGGGAAGTGGTTGAGTTGCCATCCCTGGAGGTATTTAAAAACCGTGTAGATGTGGCACTAAGGGACATGGTTTAATGGTGGGCTTGGCAGTGCTACGTTAACGGTTGGACTCGACGATCTGAAAGGTCTTTTCCAACCTAAATGGTTCTATGATTCTATTCTGTGAAAAGCAAATGAACTGCTTTGACTTAAATTTAGATGCACATGCCTGCAGCTTAATGCAGACACCTGGTATGGAGTATTTCCAGCCCAGAAAGTCTGGTAAAATTATAAACAAAAGAAATATATCTGATAAGACAAAGTATTATGCAAGAATTTTTATTAGGCTACGTTACTAGACCTGTCCTAGATATACAGTTGTAACTCACAAAAAAAGAAGATTGAGTTAATGTATTTCTTTACCATTTATTTTCAAATACAAAAATACCACAAATTTAAAACCAGCTCCTTAGGGCAAATTATGGAAGATAATCCCCTACAGATAAACTCGGCAAGGAAATAAAAGCATCCAAGATTTTCTGTTAAAAACAAACAACCCCCCCAAAAAAACCCATCCACCCCTGCAGTTTGGCATCCAGCGAGATTGTCCAGGCTTCCTATTTTATTGCACAGGTTTCCTGCCCATTGGGCAGATGGCCTGTGCACCTGAACCACGCAGGCAGTTCACCGTCCTGGGAGATGATGAAACGTTCCCACCACTGTGCTGAAGGACAAACACTGCCAGATAGACATGGAGACCATGCACCTCACTTCTAAAATGGGATTTATAGTGACAAAAACCACTGCAGTTACAGAGCAGGGCAATGAATATTAGAAAGAGGAAGAGATCCTTCAAAAAACTGAAATAAATTCAAAATGAAGATGACAGAAAAAACCCATAAGTTGCCAACAGTTTAATTATAAAATGCAGTATGAAAGGCCAAAAAAATTATGAGATGACTTTTTACAGGCATAAAACCTAACAATAAATTTTTTTTCAAACACATCAGAAAGAGAAAGGGTGCCAAAGAATGCCTAGGGTCAATTAACAATGAAAGCGGAAATGAGAATTCAAAGAAATAAAGGCTATAGTACAAAATAACATTATTCTACTGTATAAATCTCTGGTACCTGCAGCTTGGTAGTTGTACGTTTTTTCCAGTCCCCTACACCCAAAAAACCCATACAATAGAAACAAGAAAGTTCCAGAAAAGGGTGATAAGTAGGGCCAAAGGTATGACTGATGATAAACCAGACTGTAATAGAAAATTATCAAGCAACATGTTTCTAGTGTACGAGGAACCACTTTTGTCTCAGCACAAGAGCAGGTAAGAACTAAAATATTGCATGGTAGACTTCATTTATTTAAAAATAAGTTAGTCTGCTACCCATTACCTATCAGTGAAATTCACTGTAGGTATTAGAAACCTAGAGGTACTCAAGATGCGACGGGACAGGTTCATGGAAGAAGTCTACCAGCAAGTAAGGCTAAGTGAAAGGGGCCTTCAGACTGACATGCTCGGATATTTTGATCTCTTGCTATTCATTAACTGGTTTGCTTATAACCATTATTTATGCACTGAGGATACACCCGATGACTTTTCAAAAAGAAATTACTGTCTAAGAAGTATGCAAATTTAATTATCTTTTAAACAGTAATTCCTGAACTGTGACCCTAAAATAGCCAAAATAAAAGGAACTCTCTTTTAGTCTCTTCTGCACTTTATGCTGCCTTCCAGTTTTCTTTTCTACAACATCTTCTGTACGACCAATTCACCATCTGTTCAGATCTGTCCGATAAATCGTTGTTTTCATGGTCGTTTTTCACTGTTTCACACTACCTTGGGTTCTTCTATTTTTGCGTTGCTGAGTTTCTAGATCTCTTTTCCTTCTCAGTCACAAAAGCTTCCCCCCTGCCTTTTCCAACAACTTATATAACAATATCCATCCTCCAAAAAGTCACTATTCTCTAGGATTCTCTGTGCCAAAATTCAGGCAAGCAAACTACAGTTGGAAGGGCTCCAAACTACGTGCGGAAAAGTGGCAAGTATCAGACGTCATTCAATTTTAGTTTTCTTTGGTGCAGAAAGGCAACTCAAATAACATGTCCTCGAGCCTGAGACAGCTATATTGATGTCTACTTTAAAAAGAGTTCACATAAATTGATGCAGGAATTGCATGCAGGAAATGCATGGAAAAGGCTTACTATTAGAGTAATAGTCATAATAAGGTGCTTATTCATATAGATAAATATATGAACATGATATATGTATACTGAAAACAACTATGGAGAGAAAAAAATAGAAACAAGTCTTAAAACAAAATGTATTCTTTTCCACTTCAAAATGAAAATTGTGGGTTTTTGCATTGTTCTGAACTTTCTGTGGGCTTTACTCTTACCTCTGCTTGCTACTGGCCACACCAGCCCCAGCAGGGCATTACATCTTTCCACCTTGGACACCAAGAACAGGTAAGTGGACTGCCCTGCTATTATCTCTGAAGTGCAAGGTTCAGCCCACCGGGAGTGTCTGACAAGCTAAATCTAGCTCCTGGGAGACACGCAATGACAACCTCACATACTTCAGGGATTTATTTTAGAACCCACTATGGTAGATTTTGGCCATTAAGAGATGCAACTCACATCCTGCACAGAGATCACAGTAACACCTCAACAAACCGACCAGCCACCTCCCTCTCCTCCTCCCTGCAAATCTCTACCACGAAGCATGGGATATACTTGTAAACACGTCATAGGAGGGGAAGCATTTCAGACCGTTGGGTTTTTTCCCTTCGCTCTGAAGGAAGGGGCATGTAGAGCCACCTGCAGGGCAGAAAAACTGGTGATTCATCCTCCCGAGAGAGGTTGGAAGCAGAAGAGGAAGAAAGGACGTGCTAACATAGACTCTAATAGGAGTATCATCTCTCTCTTCAACATAATTCACCACTTGGATTTTAGCAAAGGATATTTGCACTGACTGAAATGAAACTCTGTTCATATTTGTATCTGACAAATACATTTTTGACATTTTTATTTTATCTGACAATTTTGATTATACAAGTATCACCATGATAACTATGCTAGTAAGTACTGTATTAATCTCTACAGCTCAAGGAAAAAATATCAAGCACAAAACATAGCTGACTAATAAAAATGTTTTATGCCATTTTACAACTGCTGCTAAATCTCTAGTTGATGTGTTCTTCAGTTTCTCATAAGCCATCCAGGACTTAGCGGAGAATAAATATGTACTGGTACATTTAAATTTATTTATTTAACCGATCTTTTCTAGAGAGATTCTGACAGACATTTAAGAAGAATCCACAGCATGAACAAAAGTAATTTCCTTTTCTTCAGTTTGAAGATATAAGCTCCACTCCAACCTTAGATCTGTGCCTCTGGGCTTTCCCTCTCATCTGTGGTTTCAGTGTCAGGTCACTCTCCTGAGTAAGGACGGGCAGGCGTCACACTTCCCTACAAGAGTTCTCCTGGAGTTCTGCTGTCTCAGATTCAGTGAAAAAGCAACAAGATATATGTGCTGACAAGAATAAAAAATAACTCTGGTTTGTGCGTATGACTCACTTCTGCTGAACATACTGAGAGACAGAGCAATTGAGTACGGATAGGAAAGTATAGGAGAAATCTTAGCGTAAAAAAAAATCTTGCTTTTCATTAAAATGCTCACACACGCCATAAAATGCAGTACTTATTTTTAACATATTAAAGTGCTGCTCAAATAATTGCTTTAGCTTCATAAGCAGCATGACCTTTATTGTCTAGGACTCAAAAATAAAAAAGGGATTTGAGCATTTTAAGTTACCTTCGAGGTTCATGCCAGCTTGAAGACATTTCCGGTAGCGGCACGCTGGACAGTTTTTCCTCCGAATTTTGTCAATAATGCAATCATTTCTCCCAGCACACAGATAGTTGTGCTGCCCTGTATTCACGAAGACAAACAAAATAACCATAAGCTCTACAATTAGAGTAGTAGATGAAGTCGTTCATTCAGTAACATTAAGGATCTGGGGACTATGTAATGTCTTTACTTACTGTACTTAATTTCTTGCAAAAAATAAGATCAGTATCCATATGATTTCATATATCTATACACCGAACAGATTTCTAATATGACACCAAAGCCAATAAATTTAGGAAGAAATCCTATTCTCTGTTAACATCAGGCAAATTCCATTTTTAGAACTATTTTTCTCTCACATTCCTCAAAACTATCTTCTACAGCATGTTTCCAATTTCCCTAAATAGTTTCACAAGAGATGTAAACAACATTCATAAACACATTTTGAAAGTATACATGTCAACATTTCTACAGATATATAGACATAGCTTTCACCATTTTGAAAGTCACGAAACCTCCTCTGGTTTAACTTAGAGTCTGAACTGGACAAGCTAAGTTCTCTGACATTTTTACGGATTCACGGATTCAGAGCAAAACTGACCCTAGAAATATGGCAACTTGAGCTACATATAGAAAATAACTGTTTTCCTTAGCTGTTAAGAGCAGAACAACAGAAGAGTAGTATCTATTCTTAATGATCTGAATGATATTAATAATTGTCTCAAGATAACTTTAGAGAAACGTATTACTAAAAGATATATCCTTCTCTCAGATCGGTATCAAAACCCAGATGTTTCTTTAGTTGGGAGAAAGCCGCTACCTAGGCTTTTACACTATATTTCAAAGCCCAGATAGTGTAACAGTGAGAGAAACAAACATATTTTCCAAGTACTGAGTTATTAACAATGGAGCCTAAGAGTCTTCTCACAGAAAAAGAGCATGGTTAAGGAATTTGTTTCAAGTCAGCTGTGAAAATTATGGGTAAGCAGAGTCCACTACTATGGCTTTAGTCAAACTTCTCCAGTGAAGTGTTTCAAGTTCCTTGATATTCCAAGGAAGCCCTGAACATTTTTCTGAATGAGCCCCCCTTTCTATTTCTTTTGAAGAAGAGGAAGCCTTACTAACCCTTGTTTCATCCTTGTGTTTAAGATAACTTAAAAAATAGATCCATGATTCACAATTCTGTTTACCATTAGCATACTAACATGTATAGAACAAATATACATGCACACACATGAAATATGCACCGATGAATAGTTGTCATCACTGTAGCAGAACAGAGGCTATAATTTCATGTCTTGCAAAGGTGTTCAACTGAGACCATGGTTTCACACAGTCAATACGGATGCTTCAGGTGTAGATCTTCCTGAGCTGTTCCATTTTTTTTCCTAACAAAAAGCTTCATCTCCGTGAAAGTAGTTTGATTTCTTGTATTTACTGCTTACCTATTCTTGCCTTTTTTAGGTGAAAGCTACGCTACTTCTTTGTATTACATTATATTAAAGCCTTCTTGTCACATGAACATTTTGTGGAAAAATGAAGGGAAGCTGATTCCACCTTCTGCTTCATGCCGTCTGACTGCTGCCCAGAGGACATGCCAGTTGCACAAAGGAATGCATTTCAAAAAACAGACAAATATACTTCACAAACAAAATACTGGTAAAAATTGGTAGTGAGCAAATGGAGATATTTCCAAGGGAATTTACAGCAGATAGGGGCATTTTACAGAGAGGCCAGACACTCTTCAACGTTGCAGTGCCCATAGCACAAGTCGGCGCCTGGGGCTCTGAAGCACTATGAGACTGAATGAGTCTTTGCTCATTTGAGCACACCGGCATATAAAAAGGTTAGAAATTACAGACAAAGGATTTTGGGAGATGGAATTAAAAATGCTGAAGAACAAGGACAATGTGGAGCACAGCAGGAGGCAGAGGTGTCGGGGGAACCTGGAGCAGAGGGGAGGTGTGAGGACCTGAAGCAAGGTGAGGAAGCGGAGGCGGGGAGGAGTGGTGAAGATCTGGGTTGGCAGCAGGGTGGGGGTAACATGCTGGGAGGTGAACGGGGTTGGTTCTGGAACCAGAGAAAATGAATCGCGAGGGCTCTGGGCTCTGAAGCATGATGAAAGAAAGAACTAGAACAAGATGGCTTTGGCCATCCTGGGTTCCTGAAGAAAGGCCTGTTTGCGTGAAGAACTGTGTGTAAATATACAGTTGCTGTTCCACCTTCATCCTTCCTCTTCTCCTCTAGTTCTACTTTCGGCTGAAAGAAATATACTTTATATTGATTTTCTAGATACTGATACTTTCAGTTTTTGTGACTATTTCCATCACAGTATACATGTGTGTAGACAAAGCTATAGAAAAAGGGTTTCAGGCTAAAGGCTGGATAACCAATGTGCAGAGTCAGCTTGATCTGTATACTAACAGGTGCCTGGCAGCTATTAATAAAAAGGATATTAAAGAAACAAATTCTTTTTACATATGTTCCTAATAAGAAAAATGCCTGTAAGAGACAAAAGTAAATTATTTGTTCCTTAAAGTGCATACTAGAACTAACAGATCCTGGAAGAGCTCCTGAAAACATCCACAATATCTAATCAGAAGGATTAAGCTTGGGATAATCTGTGGAACAATAAAAATGAAAGTGGAGGTAAGCCTTGAGAAATTTATTGCAATTTTTCAGCTATAAGCCTGCTTACATTTTTAACATTAATACAGTTGATATAAGATGCGGCAAGTCGCATCACTGATCAAAAGGAATTACTGGATTGACTTCTTCACGTATCAATACTTTCATGATTTGTTTAAGCTTGAGGACAGGCAAAACCATCGCTATGACATATGTTAAGCTGCCATATAATACTACTTCTGAGGGATATCCAGTGACCTTATTTTAATTGAAGATACAGGTGATTATTTGCTTCAAATAAAGAGCCTGGCTCTAAATGGGAGCGCAACTCCAGACAGGACCAGTTGGGAGTCACGGAGAGCACAAGCAGCTCAGTGCTTTGCACTTGAGCTCATATCGTCTCTTGTTATACTTCAGATACAGGTTCAGCTTCCCACAGAACTGACATCCTTTCCCCTTGTGACTAGCAGAAACTGTGATACGAACTTGACTTTTCCGATCACTCCGAGAGGCTCTGCGTTTCCACGGAGCTCCCTATTGCATCCAGTGAGCTGGGAACTGGGAGAAGGTGCTCCTTCTGAAAGGCTGAATGGTGGCTCATCATTGTCAAAACAGCCTTCCCTCTTCCCCAGTGAAAACCAACTTGCAAAAATGTTAGCAAAAAATGACAGTCTGACTCACTTCAAAATACAAAATGCAGCAGGAATGGCTGCATGAGACAGGAAACCCTGTAAGGCTGTAACTAAGAACAACGTAATTTCAGAATAGAGGAATTGCTATCCTTTCAGAGACACTGAGAATATACTCCAACTTTTCTGCATCTCTCTGATACTGAAGCGAAGAGTCAGACATTGAGGTACAACCGAGTTCATTACATAATGGCTGCTTATGCAGCCCCAAAATCACAGATTGCTTATTCTGCTATACGCACTACAGACTCACATTTAGTTTTCCATCATCTCTATTTTCTAGAACGATTTTCTTCCTGTGATTAGAGAGAAATCTCGATGATCCAAAACTACACACATGTTCCTGTTATCTAGCTACCCCTGCAAATATCACACATGGACATGTATTTAATATAATCAGTATTGCTTATAGGAAAAATTGTAAAACTATATAATCTTGCATAGGAGAGATTTATCAAGTTTCACGTACAGTTTTATACACAAAACCAGCTAACATTAAACATAAAAATCACAAACTTTACAAATCTAACGCACACAAATATCTGTATATAAATAGGACAAATAAACAAAAACAACAGTGAAAGAAAACGAAAGAAACAAAAAGCCAAGACAACAATACATCCTTTTACACTGTGAATGAATGGGAGCATTTTATAAATGTAAATGGAATCTATGCTTCAGATAATCACACCATTATCAATGTTACTTACTATGAAAAGATCAGTGATAGAATGGATGGGATTTTCCACTAGGTTCCTAGCAAAACCATGGATTCCAGCAAGATTAAACAGACTGGTTTTGAGTGTGGATGACATGTACATGGGTTTTATATTTTTAAACAGCAAATTCATCAAAACATGTCTTACCTTCCACAGCTCTTTTGAAGAACACTTTGCAGCTGCCACAAGTAAGAACACCGTAATGACACCCAGAGGCCTCATCAGAGCAAACAAGACAAAGCTTGGGAGGTGGTCCCGTAGTTGCTGAGGTTGTGGATGGAGAGGAGCTTACATCTGATCTCATTCCAGGGCTAAAAAAAAGCATAAAAATACTTTTAATTAAGATCTATGGGATACTGGCAAACATAATATTCATAACTGCAAGAAACAGACTGCCCTTATCCTCAAACATTACAGTTCTGCACACCAAGTTCACTGGGCTCTGAAACAGTTAACCAATTAATTTTGTAAAACGTAAGTAAAGCTGTATGGATTTTTCACAGCCTATTTGACTAGGTCAAGATTACTTCCCTGACACATCTCTGAAGCCAAGTTTCTTGCATAATTATCCTAGCCTTTAAAATTGACTCTTAAAAAATGCTCTTATTCCATATTGTTTTCATTACTGTCACATTCCCTGCAGCCTGCACTGAGTCCTACAAAAACCTCCTTTTCCAGTATCATCAGAGTTTTCTCCTGGGATACTATTATGCAAGAAGCTGTGCAAATTAAGCCATATATCGATACATATTTACAGTAATAAATGATCATTTCACCCCAGCATTTTAGGAAAAGAATATCTATTCCTCATTTCAGGATCTGGTTTTCCTATGTAAACATACATGCCATCTACAAATGAAGGGTTAGCTCTTTAACAAAAAAAAAAATCATTGTTAGAACAATAAACAATGTATCGTAATCACCTTCGAGCTGCTTCTAATCATCAGGGCTGAACCAACAGTGGTTGTGCCAAAGTTGAGAGGCTAATCTTACTTAGCACGTGCAAACAACATAGCCAAAACCTGATGCGTTACCTGTTGAAGGCTGCCTCGACACCTCCTGTTATAAGGCACGTTGTTGAGTTTTATTTCACAGTTTTGAATTTTTAAAATGGAGTTTCTATACCGTATGCTTAACTTAGTTATTTTCACAGAAAATTTTGTCCAACAGGGTTCCAGCCACTTTCCAGATGAAGCTAGAAAATAACACTTTTTTTAAGCCTTTACTCGGAAACTCTCCAGAACATCCACACTCCCTAATGTGGGCTTAACATTTATATGTGGGCTGGCTTTTGCATGGAAAATTCCTTTTCCTCTCCTCAAGAAAGTCTGACCAGATTTGGTCACACATTTTAAAAAAAACCATAGTTCTCAAACATTCACAAAACCCTTAAAATTCCAGCCCAAATTAAAACACCCCAACACCTGGGAGGCTTTACTTTTGAACAGGTTGCCTCCATACGCCCCATCCCCAGAGAGCAATTGAGAAATGGCCCGTCCGGTGATTCCAAGGACTTTTGCTGTTGCATTTGCTCATACCGGGAGGGAGTTAGATAATAAAAGCAGACACAAGGAGCGGGAATCCTATCACTCAAATGCAGAGGGATAAAAGTCAAACCAGAATAAACATGTCAGTGAAGTCCACACTTCGACAAATATGGAACCAGAGGGCAGAGAACAGTGAAAACTACTTGTGTTAGGGAAAAAAATGAGTCTGATATGAGCTAGGCGAGAAGGTGACCTGTATCTAAGCTAGAGCAGAGAGGGCTGAGCAGAAAAGTAAAAAATAGACAAGAACACAGCAACAGCTCAAACATGCTGGAATAGCTGTGGGAAGAAGGAGAGAAGAGCAAGACCAGAACAAGGGTGGTGCGAAGGCTTCAATAGGAATGAAGCAGAATGAATCAACCTTGAGGAAAAAGGGAAGAAAAAAGCCCACCCAGGAAAGAATGCTTCTTTCCAGAACTTGGAAAAGAACTAAAATCCATCACATCGCTCCTTTGTATTCAGAAAATATTTGTGAAATGCTGCAAGACTTCTTCTACTCTATTACTCTACAAAGAGGCTGACAACCATCATTAGCTAGTCTGTCAACTAAAGTGGCAGTCACCCATAGACTGCAATCCTGTTTACGATCCGTATGATGGCTTTTCTGTGTTTTCTAGTTAATTTGTCTTCTTTTAAAGAGCAGAAAGCTTTTGCACAATCCAGCACTCAACATCCAAGTACTGGCAGAACGTAATTCAACCCAGTTACATTTATTTGATGTCCTTACAAACACACATCTTTAATTACATGCTCATCCTAATTTCTACAAAGCATGTCTGCCTTCCTCAGTGCAGAGGCGCTCTAGGAATGAATACTGTAACGATGGAAGCTGCCATTTGCATGGCCCCATCTCCTCTGATGAAGAAATCGGCTGAGAGAAGCCAATGGCTATGGGTTTGCAGGAAAAGAAACCTCATGGTTAAGGAAGCTGAGGATTCCAGTCTACTTCTGCCTCTTATCAAAGCTGTGCGTGATGGTATTTGGTTAATGCAAACCAGCCTTTTCAGAAATCCTGCCTTCTTAACACGCAGCTTGAGATCTGGCACATACTTTGAAGAAAGGCACACCACAACCTCAAGTCAACGGAGCTGTGCTTTGAGCTGAGCGATGCCCAGCTCCTCTGGTTGAAGAGACCCTTCCCCGTCACTCAACCGGAACCGGTGCATATGCTCAATATGGACCATACATGTATTGCACATTTTGGGTGCTCCTGCCTTTCCCAGCAGGTCTCAGCTTTACTCCGTATTCAGAGAGGTAAGGTCTCCACGCCCTTTGGGGTGCCTCAGGAAGTACAGGGCAGACCCCCGCCGCTGCCAGAGCAGTTCACTGAGCACCACAGCCTGCTGCGGGACCTCACGTTGCCCCCGGGTGCTGGGCTGCAGTGTGCACATCTCCTTCGCTTTGGGGCAGGTCTGCTGTTCCACTAAGATTTCAGAAGGAATCCAGAGATGAGAGGACAACCTCAGGCTTGAGAACCCGTACGTGGTTCTTTGCTCCCTCAGGGCTTTCCTGTCTAATTAGACAAATAATTTTGACTACAAAGCTTTGCTTCCTTTCATGCGAAAAATATATTACTTTCTTCTGTTTGGTTTGCTGTGGGTTCCACCCCCCCATGCCCCCCCCCAGCTTACTGATCCATTTGGAAAAAGGAATTAAATTGTTTTGCTGCTTTGTACTGTCATATGCAAAATAAAAAAAAAAATAAATCAATCATCAACACTTACTTCAAAAACAAACAACCCCCCCTATTAAAAACAGTAATCACTGGCCAGTCAAAAGCTACTGTAAGTTGCCTTATTTTCTCTAAAGTTTTAGGCCCAGTAGCTCCTTTTCTTATACTAAAAATCTCAGTTTAAACATTGAAATATAGGCTGGGAGCCTATGATTTTAAATAAGGAATATATAACTTGAGAACTTCATTTCATTAAAATGATTAAAACCTGAAAAAGATGCAAACATCTTTCCATGCATAGTTTTGAAGACAGCTAATTTAGATACAAAAATTAAACTCTCTATACCTTACAGATTTCTCACAAAAGTGTTTTTAAGGAAACATTCATCAACTGTCATAGAAACTATGGTAGTACCAAACATATTCAACTGAAGCTTTTCAATCACCTTTAATTTTTAAACAGGGCTCCTTTTCTGTACCAGTACCATAGAAAATGTAATATGAGAAAGAAAACAGATGATATGACTTACAAAACTAAAAATAAATTATTACATTGATTAATAAAGCAGTAGCCAGCAATCTAATCTGGGCTTCTGGCATATCTTTTCAAGCCTGGCTATATCAGATAAGGCCAATATTTACTAACTGTGTGGAGAGCTGCCAGACACTGACAGTCCTCTGGTTGTGCAAAACACAATTTTGCTTGCCTGGAACATGGAGAACAGAAGGGATTATAGTGCATAAGGACTCCTGCAAGAGCTACAACAAGCTGGCTGCAGGTTTAATATAAATCTTTTACCTATAAAGTTATACGTAGTAAAAGACAAACAACCACTTCCCAAGGAAGAGGTAAGGGAGGGAAGTTACACTCCGAGATCATATAATAATAAAAAAGTTACCTTTCAGTTATTTGCAGAAATGTTTTTAAAGTCAACAAAAACCTAATAAACTATGTTTCTTATCTAAATAAAACGTCAAGAAGCACAGATGAGAGCGGAAAAAGATTCCAAATTTTAAGGGTTCCAAATTTGTAAAAACTTTAATTAAATTTTATTTTGGGAGGCAAGTTGTTACTTGTTTAAGGGTACTGATCTCCATTCCCATGTACTTTCAGAAACTATTTATATATAAACTAATTTTATTCGTTTGTGTAGATACATTTATTGTTTCCAGTCAAGGAAACATATGGGGGTAAAATAGAAAGACTTAAAGAAAAGAAGATGCAGCTACAGTAACGAGCTCTGTAGAAATCAAGTTGTTTAAGCAAAGCCATTTCTGTGTTAATCATTTACCAGAGATTTTCGAACCAGGCTCAAGGTTCAAACTTTAATAAAGTCAGGTGTGGTAACGTTTACGGTGGTGTGAAGTTTTCCTTTCTCAGGGTCCCCGTCCACTGCGGGTCACGTCGTCCTCCCGCGGAGGCCAGTGGCCAGGGCCCGGGGAGGGGGACACACGCTCACGGGGGGGCCGGGTGAGTCAGCCACACCAGCACCACGCTCCTCCAGCGAGGCTATTAAAGCCGGGATATCAGATGCGGGTGACCAAACTCACAGCCCTGCAATCAGCTATAAACACTTCAGCAGAAAGATGCGGCAGATAGTTATTCGCTCTTCTGAAGAAGCCTTCCTCCAGCGTATTTGTTCATTACTGAAGAAAACATTTGCTTGTTCCTCTTTCTGCTTTCTTCTCTCTTTACTGTGAAGAACATAAAACCTCCACGACACAACACAGAACACGCACACTCCCACATGTTGAACTTACTAACATTATAACATTATTTTAAAAATACACTACCTTCCTGTTACTTTGCATCATTAAACAAAAAAATCTCCAGTAAGATAATGAAGAGACAAATACTTTCAGCAACTAAAATTATTAGTCATTTATAGTCTACAACTGACAACTCTTTATCAGCGAATGAAAGCTTAGGACGATCAGCCTCAATTGATTTTGTCCAAGACCATGCCCAGCCCTAGTGCTCTTCTGCTGAAGGGTAAATTCTTTTCTAAAATGCAAATTAAATTAGCACCAATAGCAACTTACACACGTGCAATGAGAATAGAACTTGGTTAACAGTTTAAAAACTAACTGC